CAAGGTGGAGCAGGGTCCTGCCAGAGACCTGCAGCCTGTGGAGAGGGAAGCCCAGGCTGGAGCAGGTTTCTCCTGGGTGGGACTTGTGGCCCCTGTGGGAGACCCACATCGGTACAGCTCATTTGTGAAGGACTGCACCCCATGGAGGAGTGACCCACGGGACAGCAGTTTGAGAAAAACTACTGCCCAAGAGATGGACTCACACCAGAGAGGTCCATCAAGGACTGTCTCCTGTGGGAGGGACCCCATGGGAGCAGGGGAAGGACTCCAACTCCTCTCCCTGAGCAGTGGCAGAAACAACAACTGACCACAACCCCCATTCCCGTCCCCCTGTACTGCTGAGGGGGAGGAGGGAGAACATGGAGGGAAGGAGGGGTGGGAGGAAGGTGCTTTTAAAACTGTTTTATTTCTCACTCTTTGGTTCTTATCCTGTTAGTAATAAATTTAAGTACTATCCCCACTTTAAGTCTGTTTTGCCCATGAAGGTAATCAGTAAGTGACCTCTCCCAGTTGTTATCTCAACTCATGAATCCTTAGCTGTTTTTTTTATTTTCTCTCTCTTCTGTCTAGTTGAAGAGGGAGAGTGAGAGAGCAGCTTTAGTGGGTGCCTGGTATCTGGCCAGGGTCAACCCACTACAGGTCTACACATCTCAAAGAATTGTAATCACTGGTAGGTAACCTACACACTTATAAAACTAAGTACAATAAGGAAAGCAAGTATAAGGAAAAAAGAATAAAGAAATCTATCAGCCATAATGTGTAAATGCCCTGTATGGCATGGCAAGGCAAGGCACAAGGATAGGGATAAGAATGGGAAGCCAGAAGAAGGGAGAATTTCCTCTGTCGACAGCCATGATGCTCTTCCCGAGTCTAAGGTCCTAGGGAATCTTCACCATATACAAAAATGCAATTATTTAAATTAATGGGCACTTCAATGTTTTCAATATTATTTTTAAATATAAATATATTTCAATAATGTATAACAAGGAAAAATTCTGCCAACTGTGCCTAAAATCAGAAAATATTAATGGGGTTTCACTTTTGGGGGTAGTAATCCAGAAAGATGCTGAACTTCATTTAATTTGCTGGGTCATCAGAGCCATGATTCTCCACCTTTTTTTGATATGGAACATTAGAATGAGGTGGGTTTCTATACCAGAAAAAGCATAGTTGTTTAGGGAACCATTTCTAGAGAGCACATTTTTGCATCCAAGAATGACAGCAAACAGAATTATCCAGAGAAACAAGTAGCATCTATCAGACATGCTTAAAGTCATTGTGTTTCTTGGTTAATTTCTGTTTCCTTATTTTGTACAAAATTATACATTAAGTTACACCATTAACCATGGCTATTGATGAGACACAAACCTCCATGCTATTACTGTCTCTAGAGAGATGTGCCACCTCTACAGGTATTATACTTGCTACTCTTCAGAAAATCCCAGCCTGTCCTGTCATTGTTGAATGAGAGAACAGCTGTGAGAGTTTGAATCTCTAGCATATTCCACAAGATGATAAAAGTTAGAATTACGTCTTTTTGCTCTTGCTTTTCATGTGTCACTGTGAAAACATTTATAGTTTCAGGAGTCCCAGAAATCTGACTGAAGCTGCTTGAACTCTGCCGCTGTTCTCTATGCCCTAATCTGTCTCCCTGCAGG